AGTGTGTGTATGTGTGTATAATGTACGCGTCTGTCCAGGTATTTCAACTCGACACCCAAGCAAACTCCGCGCCAAAATTTTGCCAGTGGGTTCTCCAGCCGAGTGCCGCCCCAGAACTGTGGTACTACCTTCACGCTCGTCTACGTCCCACTTACGAGCGCGTGAAAGTTTTGGCGAGAATATTGCTAACTCGAGGATCAGAAAAGACAGAAAGCTGAAATTCTGAGGGGATGTCCCCTAGCCAAGTACCGTGCAGCTGCCCAATAGTTTTGCGAACTTCGAGAATCAGTATGCCATAAATTCTAGCTACTAGGACTCCAAGTATCTTACAACAGCACGAAATACCGGAAAAAACATGATCGCTCGCGCGAGCCCGGTGCGCGTCGCCAGTGATTTTTTTTTCATTTTTTTGCCGTCGTGTTTGTTTACGTTTGTTGTTTGTTCGTGTTTATAAAACACTTTCTATTCGCCAACATAACGTCATTTCCTTCCCGTCTAACCCAATCTTCGATGAGATACGCCGTTCATTTTCTCTCAGCATGTTTAAACCACTCTGTTCATGTGAAACTGGAAACTTTGATCGCTTCCAATTAAGGACTTCAAATTTAAAATTGTCGAAATATTTTACACTTGGAAATTAACTGAGGCAAAAATCCCTTTTTTGTTAAAACTGATGACGTTCAGCCGAAGACTAGACTTGCATGTAACCCAGTAATCACCATTTAGAGAAATTCGCCACAAAGCAAGCGAAGGAACATTCGTTCTGAAAACTAAGCAGCTTTGCTCTTCACATTTAGTAGTTATTCCTGGGCAGAAACGTCTCAAAATCTTTCACATTTATTTGGCATTTTGAAGCTTAAATGCTAGAAACGGAGCACTAAAATTTTGTAATTTTTAAGATTTTTTTGACAAACAATTTTGTCCTGTTCAGTATTGGATGAATTCAAGTCAGTGCTGAAAACTATTGTGATCATATTTTCCAAAGGCAGGTAGAACAGAAAACATCATTTTTTGCATTACCCGGAGGGAAAAATTGGCAACAATTGTTCACGTGCACTTAATAATTATAAAGTTTTATGGCCACCTTTGCCTGACAACCAGTGGATACTGCATATTAATGTGTGGCACCCTCGTAAAAGTAGATGAGCAATCAGGTAATTTCAGAAGAAATGACATACAACGAACAGATGGTGGATACTTGCTGATGATGCTGAGTAGGACAGCATTATTAAAGACGCAACCAGCAGTGGTGCACCAAACCTTGAGGGTGTGAACGTGCGTTTTTACATAGTTTTTCCCACAAGTGCATGTTACTATTTAGTACTTTTTTCCGGCGCGGTACTTTTAGTTAAATGATCCGGAGATAGTCACCCGCTTTGTCACAGATTACCACAGATATTTCCAATAAAGGCGATCGCGGGCCATTTTCAGGAAGATCCAGCAATCTGGCTGCTCTGGTTAAGGAACTACAAAACTGTCAGCGTCAGACTGAAAGGACCCACTAGAAAGATAGGCAGAATGCGAAAATTGTTTTTGCACTTGCCCGAACGTGGTTGCGGGTGTACCAAATGTCCAAATTGCCCAGTAGTACAGGCGATCTCTCCATAATATGGAATTATACAAAGGCACATGACCGTAAGGACGTGGTGTACCGCTACCCAGGTTGGTTTATTGCGTCTTTCTGCATTAAAACAGCGGAATTTCCATGTTTTTGCGTTTACAGCTGTATGATATCTATACCTGTTTCTAGGGATAACTCAACACCAAAATCACGAAATTGCTAAGATGGGTTCGCGCAGTCACAGAAGCACAAGAAAGATGCAAGTTAAAGGACTTGGAAGCTAAACAAACTAATAGTGCCTGGAAGTCAGCAAGGAACAACACTCCGTGCTAATTTTTTGAGCACAATTCGCCTGAACATAAGCCGATGCAATTTTTTCCGTAAATACGCCTAGTCATGACCTGGAGTTCGTCGCAGTTAAACGAAAAAGCGAAAACGTAGAACCCACGAAAATGACCTTGTAACCCATCAAGACAATCTAATCAGAATATATTTTATTAAATAAACAGCAACCTTCTACCCATAGTATCAGAAGGCGGACACTTATGAGGCGATCGTTTATCAGAGGAAATCTTTTCTATAATAACTACGCATCACCAAAAACTCTCGAACTCCCACCCCATATAGCAATAGATACAACTCAGCATTTCGTTCCACTGGTAATAAGCATAGACATATGACCAAAAGTCCCATTCACTGGGATTCCAGTCCACAGATGCTTCTGGCTGCCACTGCGGCAACGGATAGTTCGGGAAAATGATTGTTTTAGTAGTGGTAGAAGTTGAAGGAGATGTAGAAGACGTCGTAAATCGAGTGGATAAAGAAGTGGTCGCCACGGAAGATGACACGACAGTTGTTGGCGAAGTAGTGATTCTAGTGGAAGTAGTTCTGGTTGCTGATAATGTTGTAGTTTTGACGGAAGCGGTCGTTGATGAAGACGCTGTGGAAGCGCTAGTTGTCCTTGTTGAAGAAGCGGTGGAAGTTGCTCTGGTCGATGACGAAGCTGTGCTTGTAGCAGACGTAGTGCCAGCAGTTGAGGGCGTTGTTGCGGTGGCACTTGTCGTTGCAGATGTAGCAGTTGAAGTGGATGTTACGCTCGTCGACGACAAAGTTGTGGTTGTGGGGGACGTGGCGATGGTTGTTGAAGTTGTTGCGGCAGTAATTGTTGTTGTAGACAAAGTAGTTGAGGCGGATGTCGTGATGGTCGACGAAGAAGTTTTGCTTATAGTAGACATGGTGCTTGCTGTTGAAGACGTTGTAGAGATAGTAGCAGTTGTTGTTATAGCCGTGCTGGTCGATGGCGAAGTTGTGCT